AGCGGCAGACAAGCTGCGGGGCAGATCCCCTTAAGGGGTCACAAGATAAGCCAGAAGGGTCCTGAGATGAGTAATGGGAGAGAATAGAGCGATCATATTTCTGCTACAATTCATTATCAGGCTCAGATTTCACTTTTCCTGCTACATTACAGAATCATTTTAAGCCTTTAGGTCTCTGGCGATTAATCAAAAGATACATCCTTAAGCTGGTGAGTTATCGCTCACCACTTATGGGTGTAACCGTCCTGTCGTTTGAGGTTACAAATGGAGATAGTCAAAAGGTTGATAAAGACTAGCTGTAGTCACATGTGCAATCTATCTTTAAACTGAATAAAACATTAATTTTGAACTTTACTGTGTGCACGGATGCTCAAACTAAAACATGTGTGCATCAAGTGTTTCACAAGAGTAAAACCACTTATACACCTGCAGAGATTTTCTACAGGTCTAACATGCTGAAAATAGCAGGAGAGGAAACTTCCTTGTGCCTGTTTCTGTTTACACCATTTACACCTGCATCATTGTACATGATATGTGGCAAATCACACATTTGAGCATGACTGATTCTTATTACACTACTCTATGACATTAGTTAGAACTTTGATGACTTTAATTGACTGAAACATTTTAGGACTGCTTTATCTAAGCTTGACCTTTATTAAAAAGAATAAAACCTTAATGCACACTGAAGCAGAAAACATACAGGATCCTTATTGAGTGCATTCCGTATTTGCTCCTTAGAGCAGCATTGGGTATTGCATACATGATGCTTATTTGGAACGTGGCAGCAGCGTAGTGCAGCCCCTGTCAGCTGGGCTCAGTATAGAGGAAACAACATGCTCACAACAGGCTGTTTTGCCTTTCTGTGGTCTATTTCCTGCTTATTTGGATATAACATAGCGACTGTTGAGCTTTTACTATATGTGAAAAAGCAACGTGATTTTACAGTTTCGGTTCTTGCAGGTTTACTTGTGTTTAATAGAGTAAACTTAAGAGTTAGCAGTTAAAAGTCCTGTTGGGGGTCCACATGGATCAGGGATTGACCATCGGATTGTTCTGTGTTACTGATAAATCCATAACCAGGAAGTATTTCTCACCTAAACGAACTGATACATAGTTTACATAGGTTTTCGTGCATGACATCCTGTCTAGAACGATCTTCTCTGTGTGGATTGATGCGCATTGAAAGCGTGGAGCAGCAAAAATAGACTTGCCACATATCTTTAGAAGTGCTGCTCTCAATACAATGCTGCGACGAAGTTGATACACGTCCTGTATGCTTTGCTGCATTGGTTAGAGTGGCAACCTATTTGCTGTGTGATAAGCGACGCTGCAGCCACGCGCCATATATGCATCCTGTATGTTTTAGCCTTTACACTTACATGAAAGAAGAAATCATAAGAAATTATGCTCGCCCTCAGCCTGACCTCCACCCAAAGCAGGTTCCCTATACAATAATTATTTATAAGCTGCATGTTACAAAAATATGACGCATTGGTGGCCACACACTGAAGGTGCAATCCTGTATTTTTTGCAGACAATGTAGTCAAATGATACTGAAAATACAACAGTTTGCAGTTCTAGGGTCACATTAAGAACAAAAATTAAGATTGCAAGAATAAAGTTGTCTATTAGTATTATTAACGATAATACTAGTAATTTAACAGCTTTTTAAAAGTACATTATGGTTTCGCCACGACTTCATTTTAATGCTGATATGCTTTTAATCTTAGACTTTCTAAAACTGTGAAGCTTTTGAACAGGGACTAGTACAAAAGTACATAAAAAAAAAATAAGTGGTCAGTAAAAACATTGCAGAGTGGGGATAGCTGGAGACCTGGATCAAGCATAATGCAGTTTATGTTGCGAAAGAATCTCTTGCAGGGGGGAACAAAACCAACATCACCAAACACATCAGCATTTTGCATAAAATCAAGCAAAAGTACTTCACTGTCTGCAGCTTGAAACAACTCTGTAAACTTTGGCTGCTGCTGTTGTGATGTTGCTACACCCTCTTTTTGACCTTAAGCAGTTGGGGTCAGCACAGCCAGACTTAAGAGCAAGTACTGTTATTTAAAAATCATGATCCAGAGTTGAAACTGGTCTTGAAATCAGCAGGATATTTAGAAGCTATTTAGCAAACTGAGTGACAGGAGTAGTACATTGTGAGGTGTTCAAGAATGAAGCGAAAGTAGATAATATGTTATTATGATACGTTCAAACACCATGTCAAAATAAATGAGAACATCTTTCTGGTAAAATATCTTTATGGATACAACTGTGAGTAGTAAAACAAAACAGAAAAGACTTGATCACTATCAGAATCAAAAATCAATCAAAAAGTGAAAAGTTTTTTTATTTTAAATGACCACAATGATTGTCTAGAGCTGTGGACATTTTTTATATCTTTGATTTCAAAGATTTATGAGACTGAAGTGTTAACAATTGTGTAAGGACCAGATTTACAACCATAAAAACCAATGATTTAGTTCCTCAGAACTTTTCTGATGCTTTTTACACTTATCAACACAACAAAAAAAGTGTAAGAAAAGTAGGTGGAAAGGTGGGTGTGCGGGTGGGTAGGAGGGTAGGTGGGTCGGAGTGTAGGTGGATAGGAGGGTAGGTAGGTATGAAGGTGGATAGCAGGGTAGGTGGTTAGGAAGGTGGATAGGAGGGTAAGTGGGTAGGAAGGTAGGTTTGTGGTTAGGAGTGTAGGTGGATAGGTGGGTAGGTAGGTAGAAAGCTAGGTAGGTGGTTAGGAAGGTGGGTAGGAGGGTAGGAAGATGGGTGGATAGGAGGATAGGTGGATAGGAAGGTATAGTAAGGGTTAAAAGATTGAGGGAAGGGGGATTAGGGGGGCAAATAAGCTAAATAATTGCTTGTAACATAAGTTCCATCTATGATAAGACAAATAGCTGATTATAGTTTAGGATTTTAAGGTGTATAACAAAACATCAGGGAGGAAGGGAACTCCTCTGGAGATGGACCACCCCTTGATTAACCCTAAAAGATTGGAAATTTCTTGATTTTAAGGACAGTCTTATTAAGAGGAAAGTAAACCAATAATCTTTCATTATTGAAAGCAACTCATTCTTATTTTGGTGTGTGATGACTGAAAAAAGACAAGTTTGTAGTCTACATTTGTAATATGTGTCTTAAAAAAATCCTATTTGTCAACATAAAAAACGCTCTACAATCTATGCAGTTTTCATGCAATTGTATGGTTGTCTTCTTCAGTGAAGGTTTAATAGAAACCTTGATTTCTAACTCACAGAGTTTTAAGCTTTTTGAATCTGAATATTCATATTTTGACCTGACCTTGACGATAAATGATTTAATAATTTTATTTATTTATTTTCACCACATTTTTTACTGCATTTTATTTTATTTTTTACCTTAGTTACAGCTCATTCAGTATTAACCATAAACTTGTCCTACTCTCTGCATAACAAAAACTTTTTAATTTGCACGAGTTGGAAGAATAACCCACAAGGGTTGACCTGTACCATGTAAATGAGCTGAGTTTGTTAAGAAATCATTAAGGAGTCTCAATCATGGTATCAGTTTTAATAAACCTTCCATCCTGGCACCCTTCAACTAGAGAATTGGATATATCTCTGCTTAAATCATGTAACCATGCCTCAGTATTGTTGTCTTTGTCCACAGATGTGTTTCTGTGTTGATATGTTCATTAAGGGCTGATATTATATGTTTAACTACCATAGTGGGGACAAAAGTTGGGGAACCATCACTTTACAGTACGTTAAAATTACACTAAATCTTCTTAAGTATAGTTCAAAATGTACCAGCTTCTTTTCATAACACACGCCAGGTTAATAACAGTAATGAGTCATGAATCTGAATCAGTCATTAAAGTGTGAACTGGTCATGTTGTGAATGTTTGCTATAAGTGCTGCTTTTTGTACTCCATGTTAAAACGAGACACATCCTGACAGCATTTCGTTTGAGCTGTTCTTTAGGCAGTTTAAAATTAAAGTTGATAGAAAGATGTTGTTTTGTCTGGAGGCAAATAACTTGAAATCAAAAGAGATGGTTCACCAGAAAACTTGAGCAAGTGTACGTCTTTGTAACAACTTTGAGAACGTGAGAAGAACAGCAGGCACCTCTGTGACTCACCCGTAGCTACTTCATTATTTTTGAATATTTTTAGAAATAACAAAGCTCATGTTCATCTTACTTTCATTTGCAAGTGGTTCAGGTGCTGATTTAAAGACTACATGCCAAGTCTGCACCCCAGACTATTTTTTGCCTCTCTTCTAAGAGTCATTTTACATTTATCTGAGGTATTTCAGGAAAGGACATCTGAAAACGACGACTCCAGTCACACTTGTCCTCTTTCTCCCTGTGCCATCACAGCTTGCTGCTCACTGTTTTGCCTCACAGAAGGGCTTGTGGGAAAAATAAATTCAGATCTCAGTCCAAGAAGTGGAAAACAGTTGTTTTATGTAAAACTGCTGAGAGTACTGTGAAGCTCATGACTCGTCCTCTTCACCACGTCTGTCTGCTGTTATGTGGGAGGTGTTCACTCCCACTTCACAGATTTTTAAACATACACTACAGGCCAAAAGTTTGGAAGCAAGATCAGATTTTTACAAAAAAAGATCATAGTTTCATAAATATATTTTGCAACACAATAAACATGATTATGTGTAAAGAGTAACTGATCAGAAGACATTTTGACTATAATTATTAGGTATTTGAATTATTGTTGCTTAGGCTTCCCTTTCTTTAAAGTAACCTCCTATGGCTTTAACAACAGCTTGGCATATACCAGGCATTCATTCCACAAGTTTATTCAGGTATGTTCCAGGGATTGCATTCCAAGTTTTCTTAAGTTCATTAAAAAGAGACTGCTGATTCGTGGGATGCATTTTTCTGACCAATCGATCCAATTCATCCCACACAAGCTCAATTGGAGAAAGGTCTGGAGACTGAGTGAGCCAAACCATCTTTTGAAGAACACCTCCCTCTTCTTTTTTGTCTAGGTAACCTTGACAGAGCTTGGCAGAGTGCTTAGGGTCATTGTCTTGCTGCAAAACAAACTTATGAGCCACAAGTCTGAGTCCAGATGGAACAGCATGGTGCTGGAGGATGGAGTGGTACTGTTCCTTCTTCATGATACCCTTTACTTCAAACAAATCTCTTACTCCATCACCTGCAAAACATCCCCATACCATGGAACTACCACCTCCATGCTGAATTGTGGTTGTAACACATGATGCTTTTAGACGTTCACCAGTTTGTCTGCGGACATAGTTTCTGCGTTTTGAACCAAACAGTGCAAACTTGTTTCTAGTCATCAAAAGTCCAATTTTTGAGAGCTTTTGCCCACTCATATCTCTTTTTCTTGTTCTGTGGACGAAGTAGTGGTTTTTGCAGATACACAACCCTTCGGACCAGCCTTTCTCAAATGTCATTTCACGGTTGTCAGAGATATGGGTTTCGACCTTGTCATGTTGATTTCCTCCCTTGTTTATGGTGCTGTTTTTTGCCGATCTCTCTTACTGGTGACAATGCTATGTTTATCCTCTGCTTTTGTAGTAACCCTCTTTCGTCCAGGTCTTTTTCTATCATAACTTCCAGGTTCCTCTAGTCTCTTCAGAGTGTAGTGGACTCCTTTGTTAAACATCTTTAGGCGTTTTGCAGTTTCTCTTTCTGTGTATCCTTCTTTCCTCAATGTAAAAATCTGTACTTTTGTTTCTTTACTCAGTTGCTTCTTTCTAACTATTTTTGTGGTAGTTTGAACGCAATTGAGATTTATTAGGATTTTTGTATGCAGACTCTCAAAAGCCTAAAAGTTGAAGTGAATAATCCAAGTGTGATTTGTGTTTTTGCTTTTGCACTGAAGTTGTGACTCTTGCAAATGTTTTCAACCGTAAAACTAAGCCCTTATTATCTTTTGCTGACATATATTTAGCAATGGTCTGCAATGTGAACAATAGCTTTCTAGCCGAGTGGATCAAAAATGAGCATCAAACCTGTGTGCTTTGATAAATGTTGTTTTATACAGATTCTTTCATCAACTTTAAAGGTGAGATATTGCTTAAGAAACTGTGTCAGGACATATAATGCTTTTACTATATAGACTGTGTATTACAAGCGGCAAAAGAAAAATATTAAAATCTAATATTTAGGGAGTGTTCCAACTGCTGCTGGCCAGGCAGATTATGAGTGATATCCTGTCCTTCATGGGTGAATTAAGGCAGACAGGGCACTTTTTTATACTTCTATCATGGAGGGTAACTTACCAAAGAGTTGATGACTTACAAGCTAAATGTTCTTTAGTTATAATAGCATCAGATTTGAGATGAGCTGCAGACAGCTCCAGTGATTCTGTGAAATTGTGGCTGAGAATGTGATTAAACAGTGTCTCTGCTCTCTGCTGCTCAGAGCTGCACTCTCATCCTGACAGCACTTGCTTGATGGTTTCTGGATGAAGAGGGGAAGTCCTAATATAGTTGCTCAATGATAGAAGTGACTGACTTTACAGTTTGTAACAAGTGTACTGCATAAATCAAGCCAGCAAAGATTAGTTGTTTTACTAAAATAATAATAATGCATCAGATTTTTGAAGTGCTTTATCAGCGACCCCTAAAGTGCTTTACATTGGATACATCATTGATTCACTCACATAGTCACACTTTGGTGGTGGTAAACTACCTTAGTAGTCACAGCTGCCCTGGGGCAGACTAATGGAAACATGGCTGCTAGTTTGTGCCTACAGCCTCTCCGGCCACCACCACACAACACTCACAATTATACACCAGTGGAAGACAAACACTGGAAGCAAGGTGGGTTAGGTGTCCTAAGGACACCAGATAGACTAGGGACAGGGAGGAATCGAACCGCCAACCCTCCAGTTATTGGGCAACTGCTCTACCTCCTGAACTACTTCATCCCCTTAAAGTTTCTTGTCATGTGTTTCCTGTTTTATTTTGGCACTCACCCTTAGGTTCATTCACATTTGCAAGACATGTACATAAGAACAGCAAAGTGAAACACTTGTTTCATCCAAATGCCACACACCACATAGGGGTTCTAAGAAAATATATGTAAATTTAATTTTCAAAGAACGAGAGGGGAGACAATCAAAACAGTGATTCTTATACTGACAGAAAGAGGGGAATATGTGATCACATCTTAAAAGCCTGAGGCTGAAACTACTGTTTTCCATGAGCTGACCAGAATGGAGAAATTAAAACCACGCTAACATACAGGAGGAACATTACAAGCTTCATCCTGATCAGCTTGTTGGAGACTGCAGTGCTGACCGACGCCTTTCCGATGCGCTGACTCCTTGGGTATTTTGCTGTCTTGTGGTTTGGATTTCTTTGTGTTAATGCACCCTTGGTCACAGATTGCACCACTAGTGAAATTGAATGTGGATAAGTGTGTTTAACAGTATAATTGTCCTCAGACAAGTACATAAGTAGAGCTAAAAAGCTTGGAACAAATATCAAGCATTGTTGTTCACAAAGTAAGGGCATGATGGGAAAAAAAAAAATCAAACAGTGGGCATAAATGGTGCGGCTCATGTATATTTTTTACATGGCACTGGGATTCTGTTTGAATAAGGCCATTACTCTCCCTGCTTGCATGAATTAATCTCTGTAAATGTGATGACATACTCAAGCCTGTTGGTGTCAAACAAAGCTGTGTTTACTCTCTGCTGGTGTCCGCTACTGAAGCTTCGGTTTGCACCTCGCTGACACAGAACTGCTTTGTTTCCTTTCCTGTCAGGTAGCATTTGGCTAGCTGTGGTACTGCTGGGCCAAACCAGCCCGCATGTGCCTCTGTTTGTTGTTTTAACTCTCCGGTGAGTCATAAAATTGTGCTTTGACTCTGACAACACAATAAAATGTGAAATAATTCATAAAGGCCTCTGAGCACATATACTGAGAGTCACAAGGGTGCCCAAAGTGCCGCTCTAAACCTTCATAGTTGAGTGGGTAATAACATTGCCCCCTTGCATCACTCATTCTGCACCTTCTGCCATCAACTCTCGACAAAGAAAAAAAACAAGAGTGCAAGGAGGAATAAAACCAATTTCACACCATCGCCTTCTCTACTCTACTTTTTCTCATTCTAAATACATTAATTCTCTTTGTAGCACACTGGAACTCTGCAGAGGTTTTGGAGAAACTTCAGTCCTAATCTTTGCTGTCTCAGGTAATCCAGATCACCAGGTTGTCAGATGGAGAGTGCTGCTTTAAAACTCTGTGTTTGCATGCAGTTTTCTCAGACTTCTACCAACTCTCTGCAGGGATTTCAGCTTATTGCTGAGTTGCAAGAAGCCCTCAGGTATGCATTACATTAAAAGAGTGTATATTTGCCATCTTTATGAGGCCGGCTGAGTGTGTTTGGTCGTTAACAGTGAGGTTTCTACTGTGAAACCGGAAAAATATTATTTGGCCCCTTACAGCGCTGAAAGGAATAGCTACTGACAAACCTCAGCACAACTTTTGATTTACTCTCAATTTATGCAATCAAACTTTAGATCCTGATTTAATAAATAATTGTGTGTAAGGTTAGCTGAAGCAGCTCTGGGTAACTGCAGAACATCTTGTTTTAACATTATATTCTACACAAAGAAAACAGTTTCAATTTAAATGTGTAGAATGCCTCATTGGCCTCATACAGGAAGTACAATTTTAGCATGGGTGTATGTCATCGGTTGCAGTTGTCGATGTAGATGCAGAACAATACGTAAACACATTTTTACAGTCTTTTACTGTTTACTGTTTAATGTCTTCTCATTTTTGATTTTTATTTGTATTTTTTTCCTGAAACTAGAATGTCCATAATCAGGCAAAGATACAACTGATAAAAAGTGGCCTTTCAGTGAACTTGGATATACACCAAACTGATGCAAAACACTCAAGCTTGTGTTGTCTGCCATAACCATCCCTGCATTTACAATCTGACTGGACATAACCTAAGCTTGTACGCAATATAAGACAACTGCTACTTTTTCTTCTTCTCTGGGCTGAATGAATTCAGTCTAAATGCCGTAAAAAAAATCAGGGGTGTGTGAAATAAGACCTTTCACTACATCAGTTCTTTAACTATAGAAAATGTGCCATCTAAGGGATATTACATCCTTTAGTGTAAACTCCTGTATGAGGTTGTCACACTCGGCATCACCAAAATTTTAAAAACTTGTTTGAAATGGATTAACTAATTCCATTTTGAGATGGGAAGGCTAAACTCTTCTCACACATTGAAACTGGCTGGTATGTAGCTGACACTTTACAGCTTCCACAAAATAGACTGTTTCATCCAGCCACTTTAAATCTCGGCATAGCCATAGCCTATGCTGTTGGTCCCAGTAGCCCTGCAACCTTTGCAGAAGCCTACATATGTAGCCTTCCTGCACCGCCAAAGAAATTTAACTTTGCATCAAAACAACTTGCACCACAAACCCTTTGATTGCTATGCTTGGTGGCAGACTGGCTGTACATATTTCTGGTACAGCTGTCATCACCTGTCCTCATCCTTAGCATTGTAGGATTAAGGCATGGCATAGATCCAAGACAGAAGCGTGAACTTGGCTCAATTGAGTCCAATCATCAGGATTTAGGTTAGAATATTCATCCAGATTATGGTGAAACTTGCTGTAAATCAGCTGCAATTCTCAATAAATCTGCTAAGGAGCCAAGAAGCAGTCCCGTGTGTTCCGGAAGACATCCTTTTTTCTACATTTGTACTTTTAAGCAGTGAATGGGCAAAAACGATTCCATTAATTCCGGTTAGACATTACAAATGGCTCTTCTTATAACCCAAGGTTCTTGGAAAATTTGTATTCTTACTGCAAAAAAACATGGCTTAAAAAGAGAGAAATAACTGCATGGCCCCTCTGTTTATGAACATTATTTCACCTCCGATTAAGCTTTCAGTGAACCCCTGCAGGTAATTCAATTACTCCAACACAGATCAGTAGGTCATTATTATTCTTTTTCCAATCAAAGTAACACTTGAATCCTGGGGGTCCATGGGGGAAAGACCAGCCCATGCAGCCATTTACTCTATTGCTCCAACAGCATCCTAAATTTGCACAGCAGCCACCATCAGTGACTCATGTATTGTGCAAAACACTGCAGAGTTCAGAGGCATGGTGCCCTCGCAATTTTCTGTTAGCACTGAAGAGGACAAAACGTGAGGAGTACAAATAAAAGAAAATCACAGTAACTGGAAGAGCTACAAGAAGCTTTTTTTTCCCCTGCAGAGGGATTAGAGCGAGCAGGGGGTGACTCAGACACTCTGACGTATGACACTTGTTAGAAAAAAAAGGATCCTCTACCAACAATGGACGAGGGGTACTGACACTATGTTCTGGCTGAAGAGGGGAGGTTAATCCCCCATTGTTGAG